ATAATATTTTGCCTTGATTTACAATATGTTAACCTTCATTATAGTCCTTGACAGCGGTCTGTACTGCTGTATTAACAACGTGTCACATGTTAAGAATTTACAATCAGAATCGAGTATTCAACTAAGCCCTGTAATACAAGTTGTTAGTAGCCTTAAGGGCCTACACAGTTGTTATGCTATACCACATTGCCCTTCACTGGATGCATAATGAGCTGCACTAAACTACATTTTAGCATTTAAAATACCTAGCCATTCTTTTGCGGTTACTTTGGTGAAAGTAACTAAAAAGTAACTAAAGTAGTGTAACTCATTACATTTCAGAGACAGTAATATTGTAATGTAACTTATTACTTTCAAAAGAGAGTAATAAGTAATATATAATATATTACATTTTGGAAGTAACTTGCCCAACACTGGTGACCACATCGAGTTGTTTACACGGATTTGTTGCTGTATGATATACGGCTTCAAATGTGTTTCCCATCCACACACAGCTCTTATATTAGGACAAAATGAGACACTTGTGAAAACGCTGTGGTGGCATGCTGCTGAATGGAATGTGGTTTTTATTTCTGGGGGGAGGGCGGTCAGGAAGCCATGCTAAGGGGTGATGAGGAGGACTTTGCGGGCATCAATCTCTTTATTAGAAAGTAATGGTCACCTTCTCTCGGGATGTCTAACAACTAAGGGCCACTTAGCTATTGATTACTTGGGGCCATCATGATTAAGATCTTGGCAAATGCCCGCCCTCGCTCAGTGTTGGAATGAGGGGTGGAGCCAGCGTCTTCAGATTCAGGGCCTGAGGAAGCCTCTCCCCGTCCACAGCCAGCCTTCCCACCACAGAGGCTCTCCCACAGCTGTTATCACCACTGTTTGTTCACTCCTAATTATTGTTTTTCTCCAAGAGCCCAAACCCCAAGTCAAGTGCTTCCTGTCCGCACATCTGCAAGTGCTCCAGCACAATTACTTAGACGTGCAATCACTTGCAGACAATGGGGAAATCTCGCAAAACACATTCACATTGTCTTCTTTTTTTTTTCTCACCATGCTCTCTTGAGATCCAGTTATACTGAGCTTAATTCTACACTGGGAGAAATGTGTGTGATTAATGGGTGAACGATGTACCACACATTTTAATTCTGAGGCATTCTCAGCGTTTCCCCACATACAGTAGGTGGAGGTGTCCAGCTGACTTCCTCCCGCTGCATCACTCCGATCAGTCTGCAAGGTGAAATGTCATTAATGCCAATGACTAAAACCTCATTACCCCAGCTTCCCTTGTGGACAAAGAGAGTCTTAAAGATGGAGGATGACCATCTGGAAGTCATCAAGTGGGATCACTGTGCAGAGCGGCAGAGATAACCATTTAACTGCTGTCCGGAACACCAGCGTGATCCATTTCATGCACATGTGGCCCGTGGCTCCTGAGTTAAGTGTAAATGACACTGAGATGGGGGGGAGGGGCTGCAGCTGATCACAGCCCACTGTTGGAGGGCGCTTTATGCTTTATTGTGTTTGTTCCTGTCATTTTCTCATCGCCATCAGCATGGGCTTTCTTTCAAGCTCCTTTAACAGCTTCTTCCACTTTTCATATGTTTTTTGTCGTGGCATCCATTTGGCAATATGATCTATGGGCTATTCAGCTAGTTTTCCATTCTGATATGGCGTTTGAAAAGATTGCAAAACACTTGTCAAATAAAAACAGTTGCTATATCTGTCAATCACTGTTATAATGCCAGAGTGGAACATTTGCTAGGCATTATAAAACCATAATTGATAGGTGAGCAGGCCGGGAAAAAAAGATTTGGATATTGAAAAAAAGCTTCCTGCTGTCTGAAACATCATAGGCTTATTAAACCAGCAATTAGAGGAAATATCAACTAAAGATCAACAAGAAACATAAAGACGCCATGATGAGGATTTTCATCAGCAAATTGAGAAAATGTTATAAATGAATGTACTCTATCTGCTGTTGTCGTACAAGGTGCTTTTGAAAAATATATGCAAGATGTTCAATGGCAATGTTTTACACTCCTTAAACAATATATAGCTACTGAAGCATGACACAGGTTGTGGCTCTGCGTACAACATTTGGCTAAGGTGACACTAAGATTGTGTTATTTTTAATATTTGAAAAGGTCAACAGGGACTTGAAGCATGTGACAAGTAGGGCTGCAACAAACGACTAATTTGATAATCGATTAATCTATCGATTAATGAAACGATTAATCGACTATTCGGATCGTTAAGGTTTTAACTGTACTACTACTTATATCGACACTGCTTATCGATCCGGTCCTTTTAACGATGGTATTAACGGTTCTT